CCCCCGAGGGCTGCCGGGCTGCCAGAGGGATGTCTGACTGCCAGCTTAGGCCCAGTCCCCTGGGGAGCAGGCCTAAGCCAGCAGGTGGTCATCCCCCGAGGGGCCCCAGACTGCAAGAGGGCACAGGCCAGGCTGAGGGACCCCGTCCCCCCTGAGTGCACCAAATTTCATGCACCGGGCCTCTAGTATTAATATAAAATACACATTAAATTACTAACCTAAACTAAGGAACTGAAAATTACTTACATCATCTTCATATTTAATATGAATGTCTGTGATTTTTACTTGTACATTTTTAATTACTTGAGTTGCCAATTTTTCCAAAAATGTATCCTTTTTGGCTTCTTTTGGTTTATCTATAAAAAACAGAAAAATACAAGCTCAAAAGTTGAAATTCTCACAAACCTCATAATCAATGACCAAAGGATAGCTAAAGCACTACTCAATGGAAATTATAGGCTTTTCTAGTGTCCTTGTTTTATTTTATATTTATTTTAGATTTTAATATGCATTTCCAACTTAAAATTTTTGAAATTACATTATAAACTAACATTAATTTTACCTTTGATGACAGAAATTAAGTGGCAATGTGTATAAATAACACATGGCATAAAAACTACTTTTACCTACCTTTTGAGCGATCAAGACCTTTAAAAGGTTTCTTAAAATGTTTTTTGTGCTTTTTACGCTTACGTCCTTCTCAGTGGAAGCATTTTAGTGAGAAAAGGATAAAATTCAAGTTAGCAGACAAGAGGACAGAAGAGAAATCAAGAGCATTCTTCCTGACATCAAATTTTGGTACAATTCACCTTATTTGATTCTAAGCTGTCCTGTTATCACAGTATAAACAGAAATTTACAAACCTTCCTTAGTCTAGGAATAACCTTCTTTAATCTAGAAATAACTTGACAGGTACAATTATTCAAAAATTAAGTAAAATATCTATACACAATGCCCTTTATAATATTTATAACTTTTCACAACACAAAGTTTAAATTTAATGTTACTAAAATATTGGAAATGTAATAATGACAGATAACATTTCTGTAAACACGTGGTAGGGACAAAGGAACACAAATGTAATGAATGGGTAGGTTACCGACAATGACTTCCTCTGGATGATATACCTCACTGAAAAATCCTTTAATGACTTAAGGATATAAATACAAAAAAGACATAAAATGTACATTGAACTGTACATTGAAATTGGGTTAATAATTTCTTTAAAACCTAACCCTCTTTTATTTGGCACTGCCTCACTTTATTTCATTACCCAACACCTATCTTATCCAAATTACAAACCTTCACATTCAACTAGACATCAACTCTAGTATGTACTCTTAAGGCAGTCTCTGTATACAGTCTCCCCTGCCTCTAGTTCCCACTTCACTCCTAGTAAACATCCTTCTATACTACTACCCGACTATTACTTCTAAAACACTATTCACAGCTTGCTAATCTCCTACTCAACTTTTTTTAAAGGCTCTCTGCAGCCTTACCAATAAAATAAAACGTGTTTGCATGACACAAAGGTCCCGTCATGACCTGACACTCCCTGTCCTGTTCTATCTCCTACCACTCCTCCTTGCACTGGTACTTCAGAAATATTATTTATACTTTCCAAGAAAAACTTTCTAATGCCTAATGCATCTACATGTGTCATTCCCATGCCCTCCCTGAACTTCTTCACGAGGAAGACTCCAGGAGGCTTCCAAATCTCAGGTGCAGCACTGCTGCCTATCTGAAGCCTCCTGTAGCTTTTCCAAGCAGCTCCAGGCCATCTACCCCAGCACCAGACTTCCAAAGTAGTGATTACACTGTATCTGAAGTGTTTGCACAACTGTCTTGCCTTCAGGCTTCATTACTACAGGAATTACCCTTATATCTGGGCACAGAGCATGTAACTGTTCAAAAGAATAAAAAATATACATCTGAACATAATATATAAGCCCCCTTAATGTCATATATATTTGAAAAAATATACATGTAATTTTAAATTTGTTCTTCCTCGATATTTTAAAGCAAACTGTCCTTCCAATACAAAAAATAAGAACCAAACCCTGTATTACAAGAATAAAACCCTGACTTTCAAGAAGAAAAGACTTAACAAATACATAACAGAATGTGGACTTTGCTAGTACCAGTATTGCTTGTCATAGTGATGGTCCCTAAATATTTTTCATTCATAAATAAAATATTTAGAGAAAGACTGAGTTCTTCACAAAATATCATTTAAAAAGAAACAAAAAGGAAAGCCAGAGCATGCTTGAAAATGGCCAGAAGAGATCTCAGAGAGAGAGAAGGTCAGCTGACTGGGTTCAGACTCTCCCATAATCTGTTCTTCTCACCTGAGCTCCCTGTTTTATTCCTAATTTCACATTTGTTCTAGCATCATGTTGTACCGCTGATCTCAGTGTTAAAAGCACCATGTTTAAACCTCTCCAAATAATTTCAAAATCTGAGTGCTACACAGTTCTTTAGGAAAAGTTTCTATTTTAATCTGATGAATAATAAATTTATGATTCTCAATCACTCTTTAAAGCAGGTCTCAAATATTTTAATCTCACATAAAATTTGAGAACCTTAAAGATCTTCTTATTGGTGTGGATTACAACAATTGATATTTCCATACTGGAAATCAAAACTGAGAATTTTTTAAATATTTATTAATTCATTTTTAAAAACCATTATCTGATAACATGGTTAACATATATTTATGAAAACTAACTATATTTGCCAAACGAAAAGTTGTAGTGAGGCAAATGACATGATTTTTACATTCTTACAAATCTCTTTAATGTCTGGCTTAGAAGACATCTTGATTTGCATATATGTTTCTGCCTTAGATCTGGTGAAATATCTTGGTTAGATTGAATTACATGAAGGAAATCTGAACTACAGATATGTAATAGTAAAAGAAATAAACATCTTTTCATGGCCTTTTCATGAAATTATAAATACTACACCCAAACTCAACACATGGTAGTTACTTAAAGATTAGTTTCATCTTAAAATCTGAAACTCTATCAATAAATTTTTCACCCAAATTAAAATCAATTGGTCTAATTTTCAATTTTAATGGATTTTTACACATCTGATTTTTTATCATGCACTGGTAATATGGAAATATTACTTCATTGAACTACGCAAATCTTCCAAATGATGAGTCATTTCATTATTTAGTATCAAAAATCACTAAACTGGGTATAGACAGAACATACCCCAACATAATAATGGCCATAAATAACAAGCTGACAGCTAACATCATACTCGTTGGTGAAAAGCTAAAAGCTTTCCCCTTAAGACCAGGGCCATTACAAAGATGCCCACTTTCAGCACTCTTACTCAACATAGTATTTATTGGAAGTCCCAGCCAGAGCAATTAGGCATGACAAAGAAATAAAAGGCATCCATATTAAAAAGAAAGAATCTATAGAACAAAATATAGAACAAAATAAACTAACAAAATATAAACAGACTCATGGAGAACAGACTAACAGCTGTCAGAGGGGAGGGAGGTTGCAGGGCTGGATGAAAAAGGTGAAGGGATTAAGCCAAAACAAAACAAAACTCACTGACATAGACAACAGCATGGTGATTAGCAGAGGGGAAGGTGAATGGGGGGAGATGGGAGAGGGCACAGCAGGGATAAATTTTGATGGGAGGAGACTTGACTTGGGGTAGTGAACATACAATACGATATACAGTTGATGTATTATAGAACTGTACATCTAAAACATATATCATTTTATTAACCAATATCACCCCAATAAAATAAAATAATATAAAATAATTATTTTAAAAAAAGAAAAACTCATTAATGGCCGATGACATGCTTTCATAATATAGAAAACACTTAAAGACTCCACCAAAAGAACTGTTAGAACAAACAAATTCAGTAAAGCTGCAGGATACAAAATCAATATGTAAAAATATGTTGTGTTTGTACACAATAACAATGAATTATTAAAAAGGTAAATTAAGAAAACAATCTCATTTATAATTGCATCAAAAATAATATAATACCTAGGGATAAATTTAACCAAGGAGGTGAAAGACCTGTGCACTAAAAAATATAAGACACTGATGAAAGAAAATGAAGAAGATACAAATAATGAAAAGATATGGGATTGGAAAACTTAATATTATAAAATTGTTCATATTACCCAAAGCAAGCTACAGATTTCATGCAATCCCCATCAAAATTCCAAAGGCATTTTTCACAAAAATAGAATACTAAAATTTTTATGAAAACAAAAAAGAGAAAGAAAAACAAAGCTGGAGGCCTCATACACCCTGATTTTAAACTGTATTACAAAGCTATAATAATTTTTAAAAATATGGTATTAGCATAAAAACAGACACATAGATCAATGAAACAGAATAGAGAGCCCAGAAGTAAACCCACAAGTATACAGTCAATTAATTTATGACAACAAAGGCAAGAATATACAATGGGAGGAAAACAGTCTCTTCAATAAATTTTGCTGAGAAAACTGAACAGCCACATGCAAAAAAAAAGAAAACTAGACCCCCTATCTTAAACCACATGCAAAAATTATCTCAAAATGGATTAATGACAGAAATGTAAGACAGAAACCATAAAACTCATAAAAGAAAATGCAGGTGTTGCTCTTTGCAATATTTTTTTATCTGATTCCAAAGATAATGGCAACAAAAGCAAAAATAAACAAATGGAACATCAAATTTAAAAACTTCTACAGAGCAAAGGAAACCATCAATGAAATAAGAACGCAACCTACTAAATGGGAGAAGGTATTTGCAAGTTATATATCTGGTAAGGGGCTAATATCCAAAATATTTTAAAAACTCATACAGCTCAATAACAGAAAAAAAAGAAACAATCCAATTAAAAACGGGTAGCAAATCTAAATAAGCATTTTTCCCAAAAAGGCACAGATGGCCATCATATGGAAAAATGTTCAAATCATTCATCAACAGGAAAATGTGAAATAAAGCCACAATGAGGTATCATCTCACACCTGTCAGAATGACCATTATCAAAAGGATAAGAAATAACAAGTGTTAATAAGGGCATAGTAAAAAGAAAACCTCCTGTACAGCTGGTGGGCATGTAAATTGGTGCAGCCACTGTTGAAAACAGTATTAAGGTTCCTTGAAAAAGTAAAAACAGAACTACCATAAGACCCAGCAATTCTCCTTCTGGATATTTATCTGAAAAAAATCAACAACACTAATTTGAGAGATATGTGCACCCCTACGTTCATTGTTGCATTATTTACAATAGCCAAGATATGGGAAGAACCTAACTGTCCACGATGAATGGATAGAAAATGTCCTGGATGTGCTGGATGAATAGACAGAAAATGTCCTGAATGTGCTGGATGAGTGAATGGAAAAGATGTGGTATATATACACAATGGGATACTAAACAGCCAAGAAAAAGAATGAAATCTTGCCATTTGCAACATGAATGGATCTTGAGGGTATTTTGCTAAGTGAAAAAATTCAGACAGAGGAAGACAAATACAATCAAACCTCGGTTCTCCAACATTTCCCATCTCGAACAATTCGGTTCTCCACCAAGTTGCTCACAGAAAAAATGTCTCAGTTGTTGACCAAAACTTTTGTTTTCGACCTGACGACCCTTTCATGCTTATACCTCAGCATGACAAAAAGCACCCTTCAGGCAATAAAGGAGAGAATGCTTTTGCTGCTGGGAAATCAATGATTAGCACAATTTTAACCCTTTATATGCCATAAGCGGCTATAGACGCTAGGGGTGGACCTTCCCCACATGCCATGCACATCTAAAGCCGCAAACCTCGCATATCAGACCGAGAACCAAGATGGCGGCATAGGTTAACGCCGGAGTCTGCTGCCTTGAACAACCATTTCAAAAGTGAAACTAAAAGACGGAAGGGACATCATCCAGAACCACAGGAACGCTGGCTGAGTGGAAGTCCTACAACTAGGAGGAAAGAGTAACGCATACGGACACTCAGAGGCGGCGCAGTGCTGAAGTCACATTCTGAGGTGCGGAGTGCGTGGAGCGGGCGGCGGCGGAGGGCGCGGTTGGCGTTTTCAATCGGGAGGGAGTCGCAGACTCTGCGC